ATGCAAATCAACCATTAAATGTGACATTTGAAGCGTTTAAGGTAAAGGAAAACCAGGACAATATGTTTCAAATAATGCTTAAAAACTCTTGGCGCAACACATACAAAAGAAATGAGCCAACAAGAACACAGGCAACACAAACATTGAAAAACCAATGCGACGCAATGGTGTCAGCCTTTACTAAAATGCTCGACAACAACAAACCACCAGAACCACCGCCAAAGAAACCACCAGACGAGGATGACAGCGATGAAGAAGAAAAGAAGTTCAAACTGACAAAAATGATAGAAATAATGCTACACAACGGCGCTACAATAGCATATATCATATTAAACTTATCACACAGTGCAATTGCAACAACTATAAATATCGCAGATTTAGTCAATCAAATAACAGCAGGACATGCACAAAGTAGCGGTAGCAATTCATCAAATGAAGCTATTGGTGTTCATAGTTCTCCACCTATTACTGTCCATAGTTCTTCATCTGAAAGTCCAACAGAAATACCAGCACCAACTGAAGACGAAGATGAAGAAGAAGAAGAAAACCAACATTTCAATTTTGATCAAATTAAAATCTAAATAATATTATATATAATGGGTATTGGTCAAAGTAAAAATGATGCAAATAACAGTATGGAAGACATTAAGACTTTAAGAGTAGATGAAAAACAAGAGCAGATACTTTAATAACAAAATCTATTCAAGAATGTGTGGCACGAATTGAGAAATTAGAAAAAGAAAAGTCTGACAAATTAATATATAAACTTCCTGCTTTACAATTTTGCAATGCTTCGTTAATTTAAATTGATAATATTAAAACATAATTAATATTATTAACTGCTATCATAATCTGTCATTTCACTTTCGGGTAATTTTGTTAAGGCGTTGCTACACATATCATCTATTAAATCTTCTTCATCAACAAAATTATTTTGAAATCTTAATAATTCCTCGTCTGTTGGTCGTCTTTTTAACACTTTATAAAGTTTATGTATCCAAGAATTACCCACAGCCCCCGTGGTTTGCCGGCACCCCCTAATCCATCCTTGTCCAGCACGTGGTTCAAGTATGGCACCCTTTACTACTCAAGTAGCACAACTCGTGCAGCCATACCTGACACGTGGTGACCTGCGTTCTCTTCAGAACGTGGGGCCGTGGTACCACGAGGCGTGGGTAGCAGGCAGGTCTGGGGGTTTTGAGGGTTTAGGTTTAGGGTTTTAGGGCTTAGGTTTCTGCAAGCAGGTTTGGTTTTTTTTAGGGTTTCGGTTTAGGGGTTTAGGGTTTAGGTTTAGGGTTTTTAGGGTTTAGGTTTAGGGTTTTTAGGGTTTGGGTTCAGGGTTAGGCTTAGGGTTTTAAGGTTTAGGTTTAGGGTGTTTAGGGTTTAGGTTTCTGGTTTTTAGGGTGGACCCAGGGTGGATGTTTAAGGTTTTTAGGGTTTAGATTTATGTTTTTAGGGTTTAGGTTTAGTTTGTGTCGGGACGTTGGTTCGGGGCGCAGGCAAACCTCAGGGGCTGGCCGAAGAATTAGTATGAAAATTGTAATTACCTCTACGGTAAAATCCACCGCATCTACATAGTTTCATTGGCATATTATTATATTATATTAAATTATAATTTCTTTATTCATCATTTGTAATTTGAAATGCCTGTTCAAAATTGATATGAAACATTTTGTTAATGTCTTTTGAATTCATATTCACGTAGAAAAAAGAATATGGAGCAAAATTAACGGCTTGATGATACATATCTAATAATTGCTGTTTGTCAACAATGGCACTATTTTCTTCAATAAAACTCATTAATTCACTGGCATTTTTCAACCTAAAAATATATAATGAACTGGCATTTAAACGAATGATAGGCGCCAAAACATTGTATTTTTGTGTTGAACAAATCACACTTACTGCATCGTGCCTGCCTCTTGTAAATAATCCATGTAATAATTTACTATATCTAACAAATTTAGGGTCGTCTGCGTGGTCATCTATAACGATTAATATTGAATGTAGTTTCTTTATCTTTTTAGATTTCATATAATTAATTATTTTCTTCTGTCTTTCAATTACATTTTCTAAATCACTTGGATTATAATTATCAAAATAAATTTGTTCTTTTTCATCATCCACGTGCAATTCATCCCTGATATATTGTTTAACTTCTGTAAATGTAGGGTCGTTATGGACACTGGGTAAAAATATAAATATTCTTGCAAATGAATTTCTATAAACATTCAATATTAGATTTTGAATAAGGACAGTCTTACCACCTGTCGAAGAAGCAACTATAATACTTCTAAATGGTAATTTTGGCACGTGCTCATATTTGGATTGCTTGAATTCATATTCAGTTATGTTTATTGGTTTTATTTTTGGAACATCTGTCATAATTGATATTAAAGATATATAGAAAATTATATATAAAAATTAACTTGTAATTAATATTAAATGGAACATCATTTTTATGATATGCTGGTGGCGAATATCATAAAAATGGAACAGGCTTTCCATTTCTTCAATCAATAAGCATTGAAGATAATTAGTTTGATGCGTTGTAAAGAAAACCCCAAGTGCTGTGCCCTCCGAATATTCTATCATGCATGAAAATAATAAGATTAAATAACTATTTTATCTTATTATCTATATGAATAGGAGTTATTCAGATTATATTAATATAATAGATGAAGTAGAGAATATAGAACAAGTAATAATTACTGACAATAAAAATAAGAAATGTTGTTATTATTCATTAGAAATACTTAAGCTAGGAATACAATATATCAAAAATAAAAATGTAAATGTTAATATAAATGGGAAGAAAGAAAAAGAGTAAAGGCAAAGAAAGACCAATACCAGATATTGAAGCACGGAAAGAAACAGCAGAAAGTGTTAAATCACTGGGCGAAAGTAAGGCTATAAAATGTGATAAATGTAATCACGTAATGAATTTTAAAAATGAATTGACAGTAGATAAGAAAGGCGGAGTGAAGGTTAGTTGTATTCCTTGTATGTTTTCTTATAAAAGCTCAGATAAGGATTTAAATATTGAGAAAAAAACAGGTGGCGATATGGTTGTTGAAACTAATGAACATTTGATTAATGTTAGTTTTAACAGGGACATAAGTTAGTATTTAAAGAGTAGATTTAACATAATTGCACTTTATAAATATATAATTAAATAAATACTTATCTAAATAAATATATAGTAATGTCTGAAAATGAAAATTATACTATTAATGATTTAATGAAGAAGATAACATTAATTGGTAAAAATATCAAAAACTTAAATGATATGATTAAATCCATTGATGACAAAATGAAACCAGTTGAACGCGAACAACAAAGCAACGAAGAGAAGGAAAAAATCGATAAGATATTTCAAGCAAAATCTATAGGTAGACCCAGTGGCGATTACCCTACAAAGCAAAAGAAATACTGTGATATGTTGAATACAGGAAAAATCAAACAACCAAAGCAACAAACATTATAAGTTTATAAAATTTCAAAAAATGATGATGGAGTATATGTATTATTTGAATAATTAAAATCTAAGTAATTCTAATAATATGAATTTATTAGACACATTTAGCAACAATACCTATATAAAAAACCAGCGAATTAATTTGTGAAATCTTAGCGAGTTTGACGGATTATGGATTTTGAGTTTGGGGTTGGGCTTGAAACTTGAAATTTCTAAGTTCATCCAACGACAATACAGTAAAAAAATAGGAATTCAACCAAATGGAAAATATTATTTTGTAAGGGGATAATTCATAGTTTATCAAATTTAGAAAACACCAATATTCATATAGATATATCAGGAAACTCTCGCCAATTGCCAAACAGGGCAGGAAAAATTGGCGAGAGTTTCCCCTTATATTATATATACATACATAGCTCCAGATCGAAAGTCGCAACGGTTCTGCCGGGAAGCGGACAATCCCTGAACGGAGTATTTTGAGGGCGTTGCGCGGCCTCGCCGTTGAGCAATACTTGGCTGAAGTCCACAAGGTGTCTCGTCCAGGAAAGGGATATGAGATAAGGCTTGTGTGGGTTCAATTGTTGCCCACCAACAGCGGCACGGCGACTAGCGTGCGGACACTCAGGTTTATTCTGTACTACATTTGCCTGGACACTTAAACGTAGTTTGGCAAGCATCTCATGCGATTGGGCGAGCTCCCTTTGCATGAGCCATGACCAGGATTGGGGCCGCACATGGCGCAACCAGTTGACCATCAGGCCATACCGCAACATGAGCCTTGTCGGGAATTCGTTTGCGTCGCTGAGCGGGTGCGCTTGAGCTTTGCGTTTGGCAGGCATAGACACGGCGCCGAGCTGGCGGGCCCTGGCGGGCGCGCTTGTCATTTTGCCAGGCGCGGGCGCAGTGTTCACCGGGTGCGCGTATGCTGCGAGTATTATTTGGCTGGCGTGGGCGCTGCTCTATCATCACCCGCAAAGAGCAAAAATTGCTGCGCGCCACCCAAACGGCGAAAACGTGGACGATGCTAGCTGGTGCGGGGGAAGGATGCTGCAATCTCAACAGCTAGTTAGCTAAACCTGTAGAGCAAGCCAACAATACTAGCTAGCGAGCAAAATAGCCGACTAGCTAACTAGTTGAAGGGAAACACGCGGAACAAGAGCACAGGCGTGCCAAGTGCGTTGACAAGGAATCGCCTCCCAACCTTGAAGTTATGGGAACTGAGTTTCTCAAGCTCAAGAAAACGAAGCGATTACATTCATGTGTAGCCCGCAATTCCGTCCATTTGGAGTTCATTGAAAGTTCCTGCTTCCTTGGCGAAGCCCCTGGCAAAGCGCGTAGCATTGCTTTTCAATTCAGACAACTGTTTGGAAGCTCTTCTCTATCCGCCCCACCAGACAAATTGTGAAACTGAGGCATGTCAAAAAGCGACTGGCAAGAACTTCCTCGCACAGCGCGACAAGCAATTTGGAGCTCAGCAAGCAAAGGCTGAAGACTCTTTGTCTTTTCCAACTGAGGTCAGCGCGTTTCTTCCGGGGAACCTCGCTCACAGGAGTAAAGGCGCCAACTGGCGAAACGAACGCAGCGGAACAGGGGCGAATCAGGAGACATAACAAGCAGACATAACAAGCAGATACAAGCAGACATAACAAGCAGACATATCTCAAAAGAACATGTAGCAAAAGCCCCCGGCTCAGGACCTCTTTCATTGGCGAGGCCTTGGCCTCAGGCTCGACTAAGTCACATGCGACGGCGTAGCTCGGGGGCCTCGATGTGACGCTTGCCTTCCGCTCGAAGCTCTTTTCCAACCTCTCTTCCGCTCGATGCAAAATCTCTGCATGATTTCACCATGAAACGTGATAATCGACGATAATCGACGTGATACTGCGCGATCTCCCTCTCGGGGCTGCGCGCACCGCCGCCCAGCAGCACCTGACGCTAGGATCAAACTGGGAGCCTCTCTTGTTGCGGGTCCGCTCGGTTCGGAGTCGGGCCAGCAGTGAACTCGGCAAACTCTGCAAAGCATCGATCAGAACCTGCCACAGTCGATGCAATCTTCGCTGTGCAGGTTCAATAGGCAGGACGGTTTTGACTGATGTCCGTCAGAGGTGGGCAAAAACAAGACAGGTTTGCTATCAATGTCCCTGTTGAGCACCACATCATCAACTTGTGAGGCAGCACCCACCTTGGCCGATCAGCAGCCCACGCCGGTTGTCCGGAGCTTGATTGGTCGCGTCCAATCCAAGATACCAAGAGGTGAGCTCGACGGTACGTCACGGGCCTTGACACGGTGGCCACGTTTCGACAAAGCCTGTCGCGGGAATCAAAAGATCTAAGGGTTTTTCTACATACCCCGACATCACATACCCAAAAAAGTTGACTATAGAGTGGTTATATAGGGGTTATACAATGTTGCAAAGGCGGCGTGCCCCATTTTCACTTGCACCTGCGTTTCTTGGCACCGGATTTCCCTTTTCTACCCCCGAATCCCTTGACCCCCAAAACTCTCCCGAAATCACCCGGCATCCCTCCCCCGAATTCCCCGCCAACCCCACCCCAATGACCAAAAAGCTACCCCAAGACCCACAACCCCCCCGCATACCCCAAAAAGGAGCCCCAGAACAAAGGACGCACCCATAACCAACTATTTTGGGGTATGTACTTTTTTCCCCACGGTATGCTGTGTTTTCCCGGCCCGAAAGAAATTGAAGAAATTTGGGGTATGTACTCTGCGGCCCCGGTGGGCTTTGTCCAGGGTTCCTCAGCACCGGTCTCAAAATACGAAATCTGGGGCATCACCTGGGCGTTGTTCCGCCCACACTGCTTTTGCCATCCCGGGGCTGAACACAAACCATCACGAGTAGCGCCTGGCATAGGCTAACAGTGAAAGTGGCAAGCACACATCCCTACCCCGAGAAGGTGTTTCCATTATTTTGGGGTATGTACTTTTGGGGTATGTACTTTTACTCTTAGAAAAGAACGCCGAATATGGAGCCAGAACGCTTTTCGAGGTCCGAAACGCGCCAAACAACGAAAGTTGGACTGCAAATTTGTTTTGCCTTTCGACAAAGGCAGCCGCGGGAATCAAAGAACCGCCGAATATGATGCCAGAACGCCCTTCGAGGTCAGATTTGTTTGCTTCAGTCACCGCGCTATCGTTTCGCAATCGCGCAGATATCGTTCAGGGTATCGTTCAAAGCTCAACACATGAAGCACAGTTTGAGTTTCAGCCCAGCTGAAGCATCGCAGCTTTTAAGTACTAGCCGGGTAGGGCGTCACCCGTGATAACACACAACCTTCCGCTTTCCCCAAACCAACACGATAACGATCAAGTAATGCTTAATCGGGTTGCACACAAAGGGCAGCAAGTAGTCTCACCACACACCAACCTTTTCCATGCAGCTACCACCGCAGTACGCAGTGTTTGGCTGAAGGGTTCCCTATGGTTACGGTCAGCCCCTGAGGTTTGCCTGCGCCCCGAACCAAAGCCCCGACACAAAAACCCTAAACCTAAACCCTAAAAACCATAAATCTAAACCCTAAAAACCCTAAACCTCAACCCTAAAACCCTAAGCCTAACCCTAAACCCAAGCCCTAAAAACCCTAACCCTAAACCTAAACCCTAAAACCCTAAACCGAAACCCTAAAAAGACCCAAACCTGCTTGCAGAAACCTAAGCCCTAAAAACCCTACACCTAAACCCTCCACCCTAAACCTAACCCCTAAAAACCCGCAGACCTGCCTGCTACCCACGCCTCGTGGTACCACGGCCCCACGTTCTGAAGAGAACGCAGGTCACCACGTGTCAGGTATGGCTGCAGGAGTTGTGCTACTTGAGTAGTAAAGGGTGCCATACTTGAACCACGTGCTGGACAAGGGTGGATTAGGGGGTGCCGGCAAACCACGGGGGCTGTGGGTATGGTTAGGGCCGAAAATGCACGCGGAGTCAGCCACCAACCATGTCTGGACAAAGGCAAAATGCTTGAGGCTGGATCACTGACAGGCTACTGCACTTACTGGCCAAACTGCAAGCCCTCATAATGCTCCAGCTCGCGCAGCACTCCAATTGCTTCAGCATCGCAGGAGCTCTCGCGATCAAGTGGCAGGTCACCCCATGCTGTTGTAGCCCTCCAAGGCATGATTTTGGCCAGGAGAGAGTTTTGGAACCAAGTGCATCTAGACAGACTCAGCCTGTAAAACCAAGAAGCATTTTGTGCAGCAAAACACACATGAGAGCAGGAACTTGGCCGCATGCTAGGTGCCCCCACCCTGGCTCTGGCCCAGTGCCTAAAGCGGAGGCACAGCGCAGCGAGCAAAACCAACAAATCGAGACGGACCAAGCCTGCCAGAAGTGGACCTATTCGGTCAGCTGCTGAAGGATGATGCTTGCGCCCGCGAGCAGACAGATCTTCGTACGCGTCAGGGCGGGACGAGGCCACATGCCGTCGCCCTGTGGGCAATGAGGTCAACGCAAGACACGAGATCATATCGGATATGATATCTGCCGGCCATACCCAGCCTTGCTGCTTGTCAAAAAGCCTCCCGCCAGCAGCACCTTCGAAACGCTGGGCTTGTTCTTGGAGGCTGGGATGTGCGGAGCCATCGACGTCCGCACCCCAAATGAGCTCGTCCACTTTGGAGTCGCCACCGCGAATGGTCCGCCGACCTGGCCAGTGCTTTCCACAGTGTCAAACGAAGCCTGTCAGCAAGAAACCATCTTCTGACAAGGCCGAATTGAAGTCAAAGACGAGGGGTTCTCCAATCAAAGAAATGCACATGCGTCGCGGCATAAGTTCTTAAGGTGCTTTGGTCCCCCCACTTGGGATGCTTCAGCCAAGCACGCCTGCTCCTCTGCCCTCTTATCATGCAGCTCAAGCGTGCTTGAGTGAAGCGGGTGCCCGTCTACCGATGTTGGTTCATGTTTTCGGGGATACTTTGGCCAAGCACGCATGCTCTTCCTCCTTTTCTTGTCAAATTGTTTAGATGTGCTGGAGTGAAGCGCGGGTGTTCTTCTACCGGTGTTGGGTCATTTAGTCGGGAATACTGCGGCCAAGCGCGCATGTTCTTCCGCCTTCTTATCATTTGCTCGGGCGTGCTTGAGTAAAGCAAGGGCGCCCTTCTGCCGATGTTGGTTCGTGGCCAAGCGCGGTTGATCTTCCGCCTTCTAGAAGAAACTGAATGAACAAAAGCTCTGCGCAGTTGACGGCTAGAGGAATGACAAACACTGATAGAATTTGGAAGATGACTTTCCCCAAAGCATTATTAGGTGGAAAGCGAAGAAGGTTGGCTAATTGATGATATTGTGCACCATAGTCCAAGAACCTTAGACCCGGCGCCCCTCAATCCCCGTCTTAACTATCCGACAGTTTTCCGACGCGCGGGGCGTCGAAACAAAACAGTTGCGAGGCCCAAAGCCTTGCCAACTCACGCCGCGAACTGATGCTCTTACGCTGGTCTGCGCGGCCATCCAATAGCAGGGTGTGGCCGAAAAGAATGCTTGCAGCCGTCGGTCCTGTTCAACTGTAGAGTAGGCGATCGCTACACATGCAGCCTTGGCCAGGGCTTACAGTGCGCCTATGTTTTTGACAATGTGGAGCGGCTTTGCGTAGCTACATGCTTGTCAGTTTCTGTTAACTGCAAAAAGGATTGGCCCCATGTTTTTTGAATCCGCTGGCGTTGCGAGAGTCCCAAAAAAGCGCCGGCCAAATAGCTTTGTTTGGTGTCAGTTTTAGGGTCGGTTGGCGCCACTTAGCGGCTGGCGTCGCTTAGCGTTGCTGGGCGTCACTTCGCGTTGGCTGGCACAATTTCCGTCCGGCATCAGTTAGCGTCGGTTGGCGTCGCTTCGTGTCGGCTGGCATCAGTCAGCGTTGGTGGAGGGTTCGTTGCCGTCAGCTAGCGTCAGTTCTTGTGAGCCGTTGTCGGTGAGAGTCAGCGGTCATCATTCAGCGTCGGCATTTGTCGTTTGATGTCGGTTGGCAGCTAGTTGACTTGCAGAAAATTATGATATTTGGCGTCAGTTGGCGTTTGTTGGCGGCATTTTTTGGCATCGCTGGTGCCACTTAGCTCCGCTGGGCGTCACTTCGCGTCGGCTGGCATCAGCGTTGGTTGGCGCCAGTCAGCCTCACTTAGTGTCGGTTTTCGTCAGTTAGGGCTGGTTGGCATCAGATAGCGTCGGTTATTGGCAGCTGTTGTCGGTGACAGTCGGTTGTCGTCATTTAGCGTCGGCTTCTGTCGGTTAGCGTCGGTTGGCAGTTGGTTGACGTCAGCTTGCAGCAACTGGTGACATTTGGCGTCAGTTGGCGTTGGTTGGCGTAAAGCAGCGTCGGCTGGCGTCACTTAGCGTCGGCTGGCATCAGTTGACGTTGGTTATTGTCAGCCGTTGTCTGTGAGAGTTGGTTGTCGTCGGATGTCGTCGGTTGTCTTCATTTAGCGTCGGCTTCTGTCGGTCAATGCCGGTTAGCGTCGGTTGGTAGTTGGTTGGTCCTGGGGTCAGCTTGCAGCAGATGGTGCTAACTTAGTGTCGGGCTGGCGCCAGTTGGCGTCAGATAGCGTCTGTTGGCGTCAGGCGTCTTTTGGCGTCCCACGCTGCGCAAAGTCTGAAGCAGCGCCCAACGATCTTAGGGTACACAAAACTGCAAACGCTGCTGGTGCACTTTCGCCACGCTTTCGCTGCGGGCATGTCTTCAACTCTCGCACCAGGCTTTCGCGGGCTTTCACAGCCTGCGTTCAGCTTTCGCGAGTCCGTGTTGGGAAATCAAGCCTTTTCATGACGGTTTTTCTTCAGCCAAGTGCGCGTGCTTTTGCCGTCTGCTTTGAGTGCTTGGGGGGTTAAGCAGTTGCACAGATTTCAGCAAATCTCGGTTTATATTGGACCCTCTTACAAAAATGGTGAACCAGGCACCTAGGTCTGCCAGTGACTCAGGGTATCTCCGGCGCTTTGGATGTACGGCGGAGGTTGCAAAGTCGAAGCCGCCACGATGCCAAGAGCCACAAGTGCCACAAGTGCCACAAGTGCCACAAGTGCCACAAGTGCCCAAGGTGCCAAAAGTGCCGAAAGTGCCAAAAGTGCCCAAACTCCTATAAGACTCGTTGGCGGACGACATGGAACCAGGGCCCTTTGTTTGGGCAACTTGGTTAAGAAAACCGCAACAAAACACCACGCGTTCCGACATCCGACCTTGCTGACTCAGCTTGCTGCCGCCAGCGGCACCCTCGAAGAGCTTAGCCTTGGCCTGCAACATCTTGGGATCTGCAGAGCTGTCCACGTCCACGCCCCACAAGAGCTCGTCCACGTGGGAGCCTCCACCGGGCACGTTCCGGCGGCCCTCTATCCTTGGAGAGGCGCCCGTCCGCCTGACGCCGGCTGCGCCGATTTCGCTGGACGGCTCAGTGAGCTCAAGCGGCAGCTCAGCACCTCGGCAGCTGAGCGGAAACTCTCAAAACGGCTTGCTCTCGGCTTGCTCTCTTGCGCTTGGCATCTTGCCAGCTCTGTGACAGGGAGTGGCTGGCCATGCTTCGATCGCCCTTTGCTTGTTGGCTCAGTTGGATGCTAATTACAAGGCCTTGGCTTGTTCGGCTTTGCTAGGCCTTTTGGCTTCGCTTGGCGGCGTGTTGCTTGGCTTTGCTTGGCAGCCGAGCTGTGGCTTTGCTTGGCTCAGCTTGCCTTGCTTGGCGTTGGTTGCCCTTGCTCGGATTCGGTCTTTTTTGTGCATCTTTGCACAATGCCCGAGTTTGCGGCTTCCGAACAAGAGCTCCTTGAGTGCGAAAGCAAATACTTCGACGGCGTGCAAATGCGCCGCTGGCCATAATCCGACTCTCAAACAGGCGCTCGCTTTCGCAGAGACCTTCTGACCGTCTCAACCACTAAACACCGTGAAAAGCGCTGAGAAAATGGCCACTAGCAACATGCTTGCGCATTGCACTCATGCATTGCCCTCATGCACTCACTTCACTCGAATCTGCCGCGGCACCAGCACGGTCAAGCAACCAATGGCCAGGGGCTCCGGCAGCGCCAGTGTAGAGCTGCCCATACTGCGACGGGTGCTCTGATGCCAATGGGGTGCTATTGCGGAGCAGCCTGGGCTTTGAGGCAGCATGAGGCAGCATAATATGCATAACATCCCGTAACATCCCTCTAGTCGTATCTGAGTTCGGCTTTCCCTTGCCGCGCAGCCCATCTACGCGGGAGACCCCAGCACCAGGAAAGCGCCGCCTCGGCGTGTTGTAGGGAGGCGGAGGTCCTTGCAGCCCTGGTCTCCCAGCAAGACCATCCTAAGCAAAATGCAACATGCGACATATGAAATACATTGCAACACATTGCAATACATTGCAATCTGTTGTAACATGTTGTAACGAAGTGCCAAGTGTGAGATGCATGTCAGGAGACTCGGACACCTGCGAGCAAGCCGCGTAGAGCTTGTCGCGGTCCACAGTGGTATAGACCCGAAGCGAGGAGGCGCCGTGAGAGCCAGTGTGAGAACCTGCAGCTGCTTCAAACTGCAAAGCGTAGGCTGCGTTCTGCAAGAGGCTGCTTTGGCCTCCAAGCAAGACATTGCAACCATCGGCATGCATGATATGATCAATGATATGCGTGGTCTGCGTGATGCGAAAGCAGAGGCCGCAAGTGCATCCCCTCCTGGACAAGCTGAGCGGTCCACATAAACCCGCTTTCCTTCAGTTCGGCTGATCCTTTCCAAGTTCTCCATTGCCAGCCTACCCGAAGCGCTTCGCAATGCACACAGCCTGTGAGCCTTCTGGGCCTTCTGGGCCCTGAGCCAGGGGTGCATAAGGACTAGCGCGCCATCAGATCGCCACTCAGAGCAGGGAAATGCAGGGAAAAATGCAGGGAACAATGTTCGATAATGTTCGATATGCGAAAGTCGTGAAGCTAACACGCCGACACGCCGTCCTTTGCAAGATAATGGAAGTCTGCTTGCGCATGCCAAAAGTTGGCCGTGCAAGCAAAGAGGAACCGAAATGGCGCTGTCTGGCTCAGACCTCCAAAACCACGACAGCCACTCGGCCTTTCCAGTTTCTTTCGCACAACAATATCTAGTCGTCCAGCGTTGAACGCGGACCTCACATGCGGCTTCGGGAGAACTCAGCTCGTTCTTTACCCGAGGATGGCGCCCTTGCCATACGCAGGCGCTGCCGGCACACCGCTCCGCAAGGCACGGAGCCGGGAGCGGCCCATTCCTACGCACACGCACATGCGCGCATGCGCACGCTGCGCACATGCGCCCATCTGAGGCCACAGCGTTGCTTGACACCTCCCACTCACATTCCCAGTTTCAAACGTACCCTCTTGGGCTGGGTGCGGGCCCACATCTGGCGCCCTGCCTTCAGCCGCATTTGCCTACGCTTCAGTGATCAAGTTGATGCGCTCCAACCCCAGTTCTGGCCTGCTGCGGACCAGGAGCGTCGGTGATGGTTTGCACTGCCTGCCCAAGGAACAAGCCAATTCGACAAAGCGCAGCCCAAATGAGTGTCATGGTCCACAACCCGAAAGAGACCTAGCAACATGAATCTTAGAACCTCCACACGCTTACACTGACGAGACCAAAAAACACAAATAACACACGTCGCTCAAGCAGTAACATGCAGAAACTTGGTGGTTCATCTGCGACAGTAGGACTGTAAACCAGTTTTGGGGATTATATTCGCTGCTGGCATGCTCGATGTTTGCTGGTACCCGCGGACAACTTATGTTGGTTGATCGATGGCGAGTTGCTCATCTTTGCACCTTATGGCATGCTTCCAATTCGAAGTCACTAAATTGATTGGGGTCCCGAGCTTTGGTTATTTCTTTCAGATTTTGGCCGTTTCTCCCAATTCGGAACTGACCGGACTGGAAAAGCGGCCTGTAAGGCCGACTTGTAGCCACAACGATGCGCCAGCTGCCAAAGCTCCTGCGTCTCTCACGTCACGCCGGAAACCAAGAAGGGAAACAAGCTCTTCTTCTTCTCTTCTCTTCCTCATTTTTTCTTTCTTATCTCTTCTTTTCGTTTCCTACTTTCGCTTCCCTTCCGTTGTCTTTCCTTCTGTCTTTTCAGGTCTCAGTCACTTCGCCTCAAAGCGCCGCCGGCGCAACGCCTCTGGCACCCGGTACCTGCGCACTCTGGCGGTGCCGAGCCCATTGAAAATACCGCGCACCAGGGAAATGTGGCTGGATCCTGCGCAAGGATCCGCACCGTGAAGACCAAAAGTTGACAAGTCCGACGAGTCTCAACGACTTGTCCGGTCCTTGAACCTCTCAACAATCTGCTCAGGAGTCTTCCCGATGAATTGCTGGGGTCCACAGTGGTGCCGGCCTCTTGGATCCATGCCTGGCCGGATGCACGAGTTCCCTCGAAACACCGCTTCAATGTCTCCTTCAGGCAACAAGGGCACCACAGCTCGTCGGGAAGTCCCGAACACGCCCCAGGACCTGACAGCACTGCGTCGAATCATACTCCGTATTAAACGTCAATCAGCCTGGATCTCCATCTTACAGCCGACGTGAAGAGACTTCGCACATGGCCTCCACTGAATATCAGTTGCTGAAAGTCTGCTTCTCATCTGCAAGTACTAGTGCAGTACACTTGTTGGCACTTTCCCTCTCCTGAATCTGCTCATTTGTAAACGCTCATCGCTCTTGGCAATATGGCAGTGGCACGGGATGCGAAACTGCCTCCTTCTACGGAAGGCCGGTTTAACTTCTACCTTCTGTGTTCTGTCTTCGGTATCCCACTTTCACACATGTCTCGTTGTTGTTCTCCCTTGCTTCCAAGACGCGACAGCAGGATATGCAAAGGGTGCTCCAGTTGAACAGTCCTGTTGCCTTGATGTTCTGCTGCTTTTCCGTGCCTCGCACTAACGGCGTAGGTTTTTATAAAAGCGGCAGCAGACCTAGAGGCTACAAACCTTGGTTAAACTTCACTAATGTTCTTCTCCCCGTCCTGCAAGCGGTGGGTGGCCAGGCACAAGCGCGAACGCCATGGCGGAATTCGCGCTCGGCCCAGCGGCTTTTCGATCTGTTCGATGCCATCTCCATGGTCCGTGCTTTCCATTTTCGCCTTTTGCTTTGTCTCTGAGCCCGTTCGTCTCTATGCGTCTCCGAGGCTTTGCCTGAGCCAAATTGATCGGTTGATTGATTGGTCGGTTGCCAGTGAGACACCTGCGACACTGCCGCGGTCACTCCATTTTCACGTCCGCCACTGCCACCACTCAGAGAGGTTCAGCAAGCGAGGGTCGAAGGCTTGCAAAGCCGCATAGCTGCTCAACACTCTCTGCCTCAGAAAAGAGAATATTCAGATGCCATAATCTGCACCTGTAGTCACGAAAGCTTGCTTCAGCATCCAAAGCCTATTCATACAGGTACGTTCGAGTAAAACCTTTGGCCAAGTCCCATGCCAGTAGCACGCAGCTGGCGCCCTGGAGAGATGTTGGCTCCTGGCGCCATCCGATTTGGAAATTATTTTTGATGTGCTTCTTCAGGCACATTCCTTCATCCCCCCCAAATGCTGTAGGGCCCTGGCGCGTAGCGCTGCCCTGCCTGCAAATGCACGTGCAATCCTCACAAATCCGCGCGGTTATCATCTTGCCTTGGCGATGCGCTTGGCATCCTTGTCATGTTCTCGCAGCCATTGCACCGTGGCTGTCAGATTGTCAGTGCTGCAACGGTCCCTTGCGATGGGCACAAAGTGCACCTCAGTCGTACAGCAAGCCAACGTGACACGGCGCACGCTTTGTCCAAAACTGCAAGCGAGAAAGGCGACGAGTGTCCCACGGGCGCAGTCAACGAGTGTCCCGTGAAGAGCTCAAATGTTTCTCAAAGTTATTGTGCGAGCACCCAAGGCTTCAGATCCTTGTAGAAGTACTCCTCATAGATTGAATCCTTCACGAGTCACCCTTGGTTTTCTCCCGTTTGTGCCACTTGCCGTCATGTCATCGCTTGCCATCGCTTGCCATCGCTTGCCATCACTTGCCATCACTTGCCACGCTTGCCACTGGGTCCTGCTTCAAGACCACTGAGCCCATGAGGAGCAGCTTCAAGAGTCGGTTGCTGGCTGCTGTCCCATCCAAGTGCAGCAAGTACTTGTGCTTGGCATGATCCGGAAGCGGCACAGGCCTTACCTGAGGGCAACATTGGGCTGCGCGGCTTGCATCACAAGAGCCAATTAAGCATCACAAATTGCAGTCAAGACCACATACACCTGTTGTGGGTTCTGCGCTTTCACAAAATCTGGCGCGCCAGTGAGGCCAACATCCAGAACGTCCTTCAGCGGACCGTGCGACAGCTCCGCGTACCATCTTCGGTATCCAAAGGACATCGATATGTCCTCGGACGACTCTGAACATCCGAGGTCTCAGAGTCAAGGAAAGGAAAGGAAACAAAGGAACAAGACATGTCTGGGCAAGCGGCATGCTGCTTGATGCAATGCTCTGCAGGTCTCGTAGGCAACAGCTCGGTGAAGGCATTCGAGGCACTCCAATCATGACCCCGGAAGAAGGCCCGCTGGGTGCGGTTCTCCCAGGGATACTTCGTCTCAAGCTGCTTTTGCCACTGCTTGGACTCCCAAAGCCCAAAGTCTTGGTCGGCTCCTTGAGAAGACACGCCCCCCGAGGTCTCGAACCAGGTCTGGCCTGGCACCGGGATGTCCCAATGTGCCGCAGTCGTCAACGCCGACAGAAGCGGCAGTGGCTTAAAGCGCGTTCGCTCCAAGTGAGCTTCATCGTGCACGGACAGAACGAAAAGGACATTCGGCACGGACGAGGCTACCTCCCGAACAAGTCTCAGAGTGGCAGCCAGCCAACCACCCATGCGAACTCCGGTTTGTCGCAGCCAAATGCCCCCATCAATGATTGCAACTTCAGAGAAGTAGAGTTGCCAGCCGTTGAGCTTTTTAACAGCAGAGGATAGCTCGCTCACGTTCCTTGGCAGCTTCGCGAAGGCTTGCGTGAACCCAGCCCTACCATCTCAGTCCGGGATTTGCCTCGACTCACATGTCCCTTGGGACTCAGCATGCGTATTCATATGTATTCATGTATTCTGCAGATCCCGTACCTTTTGTCCCGTAGCTTTTGCATGTCTATCATTTTCTATCTGTCCATATCTGTCCCCTGCGTTCCCCTTGCAAGCGGCTGCAGCGTGACAGGCCCGTGCTGTGCCGCAGGCGCCAAGGAGCTCCACACCTGCGGGCAAGAAACAAGAAGTGGATAGAGGGGAAAGTGGCGGGAAAGTGAAAAAGAGAAACAGAAGGGAGAAGAAAGGAGAAAGGAGAAAGGAGAACCAAAGAACAACCATAAGTTGAAATAGTCGATCCAAAAACGCCTGCTCCTGGTGTTTCCAATGGCTGCAGTCGGAGGCAGCCCCAACCTTGAGGCGTGGAAGAACAGAAATCTGGCCCAAAACGTGCATGTGCGACAAAGTGCAAGTACGAGCTTCCAGTTAACCCTTCCCCTGAGCTTGGCCATTCTTGCAGCCAATTCGATCGTGAGAGTCGCGCCAGGGGCTTCGCAAAGGCTTCGCAAAGGCTTCGCGCAAACGGACTATCGATTCTAGAAAAACCGGGTCTGAAACGCAAAGTGCTCTTCCGATCGTCTTCCTGTCATCTTCCCATCATGTCCGGTAGTCTGACTGTATCTTCCTGTAGTCTTGTCATAGTCATAGTCTTCCGGCAGAAAGTGACTCTACACATCAACCTTTGGCATGCTTTTGCTATGACATATAACACACTATAACTAGCTTCGGCTGTGTCAGCTTCGCGAAATGGCTTCGCCGGCTTCGCGTGACACAATGTGTCACACAAGTGCCCGGAAGATTTGGGAGCGTACCCCGAAGCCAAAATCCATCATCTGAGAAAAAACGTTTCTCAGCCGAACTGTGCGCGTGGTTTAGGAAATTCGTGGAAAAAACCGTACCATGCTCGCCACGTGCACTCCGGTGAAGTTCAGGGGGAGGGCTGGGTTTCTACACGATGCGTTGTCTGACTACATTTGAACTGGGCTCGTCCTACCCGCCGTTTCATATTTAGGGCACAATGCGAGACGAACACAGGGACCACGCCTGGTGTCAGCGCAGGCGCTTGTCATGCGAGATTCGCAACAGCTTTCCACTAATGAGCAAAACAGACAAAACAAACAGCCAGAATAAGCGGTCCGCATTGAGTGACAAACAGGTGTTGACGCGCAGAGACAATGTGTGTTGACCAGCATTGGATTAGCGGCGCTTGCGGAAGCAAAGTGTCCCAAGTGTGAAGCTCACTGCTCAAACACTGATGCAGAATCGGCCACGATTCTTCTTCCACATGCTGCTCTTTTCCACGGATGTTGGTCAAAACTGTGATTTCGCCCTGGCGAAACACAAAGGCCTCGAACCACAAACCCCACTTCCACAAGAAACTCGCGTGTCTCACTTACTCCTGTGATCGGCATATAGGTGCTTGGGCCGGTCCAACAGACGAGCACACCAGAGATGCTCTTCAAGTCCGTTCGGTCGCCGGCCAAGTCCGCGTCACAGTAAGCGGCAGTTTCGATGAACTCTGGGCTATCGCCCACCCATCCATACAAGTGGAGGTCAAGAGTAGAGACCAAAACATGAAGCTTGTGATCGCGAAGATGATTCTATTTGGTGACCTTGCTGGCTAACGCCTGCGCGGGACGAATGAGATCACACCTGCCCATCCTAGCTCCACACAGGATCTTTATCAGCACCGCGGCCGCGTCATGCATTGATGGTCTCTGCAGTCTCTATATCCATGGCCTGTCAAACTCCGGTTTGCTTTCATCCAAGAAAGGTGTATCCACCTTTTGCAGCTTCTTGGGATATTTCCCTTGGCACAGTTCAATGTATCTATCGACACACGCCTGCGTGAAACTGCTCTCACTGCACTTGATGAACCTAATCGTCGTCTCTGGTTTGGGAATGTCCCTAGAGAGTAACCCCTCTGGACCAAACCTTAAGTCAGCTCCTTACCAGGAGGATCGCCGACTGTCCACGCTAACCTCGGGTCAGAGTGACCGCGGAGTAGTTGTTGAGAAAACTCATGCGCGCGGCCAAGATATCTCTTGAGCTGTCTTGGTTCCTCCATCTTGATGACCTTCGAGATCAACAAGTTCTTCGCCGGACCACTCATCTTGAAATCATCAACGTGCACGACGAGGAACAGGTCGAGCTCGTGGAGCCTGAACACGCTAGCCCATCCGTTCACCTTGACGTATCCGACCTGCTTGAGCATAGCCTCACAGCGTTGCTCCCAAAAACTCCGGAGGCCACTGGTCATGCGGGATCCTTACCCAGGTCTTCTTGCCCTTCAGGCGTGCTTGCGTGTGGGCTGATTCCCCATCGCTCACCTCCAGGAGATTCCCAGGAAGCAGTCCATGAGCGTCAGCCATTTTCCTGCAGTCGTAGTAGCAGGACATGACGTTGCTTCGGAGAACAAAGCCCAGTGGCCAGCCTCGTCACGGACAAACACCCCTCGAAGACAACCCGCCCTTTGTACTTGCGGTTGGGATCATCTTCAGGCAGCTCATGATTCTTCTCGACGCAAATGTCGAAGATCATCCCTATGTGGATCTTCTCTCCTTCACGCCGAGCTTCTGCTGCGACATCAGACCGCTCCAACCGCCACTGCCCAACTCTCCTTGAAATCCTCGTAGACAAAGTTTGGCATGTCCTGACGTGGGGACCCGGCGACGCCTCATCCGAGGCCGCGACGGGTCCAAACTTGAGCCAAATGTCAATGGATGGTTGCTATCGCAACACTTCCAAATGACATTCAAAAACATGGCTGATCACACATCCTTAAGTACGTGAGTGTTGGAACGTTTCTTCCATGGAATCACACAGGCGCACGCGGGCTTCGCAGTCGCATGCGTGTGTGTGTCTGTTGGGC